AAAAAAAAAAAAAAAAAAAAGAAGTAAAATCATAAATTGTAGCTGTAGATATTCTATGACCCCCATCAACAGGTCAGTTCACGACTGGATTAGATGAACTCGATGGCAGTGTGCACTGAGCATCAGGCGTGCTGTTCGCTAGGTTAGCACCAGACTGGGCTACGGTACAGATGACCGTACTTCGTATCCCCGACAAAGAGCTCTTGAGCATGGATCTGTTGGGGAGTTGTCCACCCTCTTCACAGCTAGGTCCTATCGGAGACGGACGTCGAATTCCCTCTTCTTGAATAACATCACAGCGTGGAACGGGGCATTGAAATCAATGACACAATATAATCTACCTTATGCCAACCTGGTCTTGTTAGGTTCTTTTTTAATTACGGTAGGTAAACGTTTTACAGCATTTGCAATACAATTAGGTCTTAGAAGTGCCGAAGATTAGAGATGTTTCTAGAGAGTAACAAACACAAGAGGAAGAGAGATAAGGACGATAGATGTTTGATAGGAACGAAGGAGGAGAGATAAGGACGATAGATGTTTGATAGGAACGAAGGAGGAGAGATAAGGACGATAGATGTTTGATAGGAACGAAGGAAGAGAGATAAGGACGATAGATGTTTGATAGGAACGAAGGAGCAAACCTCACCAGAGCAGCCACCAACGAACCAGTTGGGTTTTTTTTTGTTGTTTTTTTTTGGTGTGTGTTTGGTTTTTTTTTTGTTAGTACACTACACTAATACTAATAAGCACCATTCTCCAGACACATTAAAAAACGGCCAAGAAACGTTCGAACAACAAGCAACCTCCTACCCCCTCCCTTCCTTTTATTCCCGTCCAACACTATCCCCCTCCCCCCCCCCTTTCCTTTTACAAATAAACCACAGAGACAATCTCAGTGCAATTTCTCCCCTTAGTTTCCTGTCACTGCGGGAACTGATGGAAGGGAAGGGCAAATAACTTTTGTCACGGGGAGTGAAGTGGCTACTCTCTCTGGAGAACCGGGGGTCCGGGGAACAGCGACTGTGCTAAGCGATACCTTGTCTTCATGGTATTGACCGTGGCATCTATCGATACTCAGTTTTGTTTTTCTTTTTTTGTTTTTTTTGGTAAGTGTTTTACGGCGCTCGCAAGCGCATACGGTCATATGAACGTGCGGGGCACATTAAACGTTTTCAGTTGGTAGGAAATTTTGAATTTTTCTCGGGTGGCGACAGATAATTAGCTGAAGTAACTGAACAAAAACTCAACTTCATGAAATTCGACTTAACTCTGGTTATCGAAAAACGAGTGGAAATATAACCAATACGCCCCTCGCCTATTCGATACTGGAACCAATTTTCTCAGGACGCTGTGGCATCAGGCGCTCGTCAACTTTTGGACACATCGAGTTATCAGTGGCGGTGGGTAGTGATGGGCTCACGGGCTTGACGTCCAAACTGGACGAAATAATGCCGCTCGAATATAATTCTTTAGCCGAGTGCCTGATTTCACCACGATGCCTCACAATTCCAGCAGACAATGACGCCAGAGTCGCTCTTCCACGGAGCAGCC